AGGATAATGTGTGTGGGGATACATCTGCGCCACCGACATCGTTGTGAGCCATGTGATCACCTAGAGTTAGTCTCCAACCACTGGTTCCTCTTGTCCCGCCAACCCCTACCACCTAGTCTGCATCACCCCACATAGCTGAAACCAACAGTTAGAGGCTTCATACAGTTGTGCCATGTTTTAGTCTGGTCAGCTCGAGTCTTTTTCCAGTCTGGACCTACTTCAGCCAACATTGTGTGACGAGGTAATCGGTGACTAGGCATACGTAGTACGTGTCTCAATCGATGAAGGTTTATAACCTCGTCAACTGATTTACCTCTACTCTCTAAAACTCTATACCTGACTTCTGCATTACTCACGTGGTGACACCACGGAATACGGCCTACAACACTACGAAGGCAACGGTGGTCAAACACTGAAGCCGCCTTCTCATATCTTCCACTTTCAATGGCCATGTTTCGCAGCCATATAGGAGAACGGACCGAACTGCTGTTTAGTACACGCGACCTTAAAAGACAAGTGGATATGGTGGCGGCGCCATAAGTGGCGTAAATTAGCAAAAGCCAATCGAGCCTTTTTTTTATGCGTGCAGAGATTTTATCGGCCACTGAGTCACGGGGGCAGGGTTGATCCTACTTTCCAGGTAAGTGAAGTGGTCAACACAATCAACCACTTCATTCCTACTAAGCAGGTCATGGGTGATAGCAAACTCTTGCTTTATAGCAAATAACTGTGGCGTGGTATTTTAGGCATTTCACCAGATCTCTTTGTAGTGGAAGGGGTACAGCACTAAAGAAGTGGTTGTATTGACTAACTTGTCGATGTTGGCTTTCTATATACACTTCGTTTCAGAGTTTCATCTAACCTTCTTACTAGCAAAACACCATTTTGCTCCTTTTTTGTGAAGTTGATTGTCATCATCATCATCTTGAGATTGATGGAGTGCGAACTTCGATCCTTTGTTAGAGACCATAGTTTCTGGTAAATGGTGTCAGGCGAACATGGTTGAAAGGGCCTACAATCTTCTTGTTGTAGTTAACTTGTTTGCTGACATGATTTTGGAACATTTCTTGTACACATCCATCAAACCGCTTATGGGCCCACTTGACCATGGGCAATTTGGAATAGATGCAGTACGTGGTGGATGTTTTGCGACTTGGTATTTTTTTTTACAACGTTTGACATATTCAATGATGTTGGTGTTCATATAAGGCTGGTAAGCATAGAATCGCGTGAATGCCTTCATGTGTCATCACTCCTAGGTGACCACTATGGAATTGCCGGAGCGTTCTTGAGATCTTGGAACATGAGGTAATCATTTAACACAGACAGTGACCTGTCTTCGGTGGAACTAACAAATCACCATCTGGTGAACTGAAACACTTAAAGTCCAAGTTATTAAAAGGTTAGAAATGGCTGCATCACGCTGCATAAAGTCTTTGATTGTTGGTCTGACCCGTCTACGGAAGTGTATACCGCCAGTGTTTGAGAACTGTACATGACATGGCTGAGAATCTATATCACAATGGAGCACATTTATCCACATATAATCATGTTCATCGTCATAATGAACTCACTGTCTTCTCATTCACTACTTTCTACTGCTTTTGACCACTTCCTCCTTATTTCTTCATCTCCTATTTTATTGTCTTGTTACTTGTTGTGCTGAAATGTGAGATGTGACAACATTTCGACCGTTATGTAGTAGTAATGCCTGGTTCCATGTTGACATTGGTGTTAATAATGATGTTTAGGATCTTCGAGATGGTAACATTTCTCAGTGGAATATGGCTCAAAATAAATCACAATAATGCTGTTGTTTATACTCAATTTCTTTCAAATTTTGAACATTTTCATCTACCATCATTTATTTATTTTATTTCCTTTCAAATACTTTTGTCTTCCACCTTCTCTTTGCGTACTACTGTGAAGTGTGTAAAGTGATTAAAGCTTATTCTGTTCACCATGGTATTTATCATCATCACCATCAGTACCAGTCAAGGACTTCATGCACTGGTGTCATGTTTTAGTCTAGCCGCCCTGAGTCTTTTTCCAGTGTGAACCTACTCCTGTCAATATTGTGCTATGAGGTAGACGGTGGTTAGGGATGTGTAACACATCTTCCAACCAGCCAACTCAGTCTATGAAGGTTCATAACCCTGGCTGAACTCGCCTGCATAAGACTCTATACCTAACTTTTGCGTTACTCAGATGGTGACAGCACAAAAGACGGCCTATACTACGAAGTTGGCGGTGATCATACACCTAAAGCCTTCTATGTTTAATGACCATGTTTCACAGGCATACAGAAGAACAGAGCGGACTGCGACCCTTGATAGACAAGCGGATGTCATGGCGGGACCACAGGTGGGGTGAGTTGGCAAAAGCCAACCGAACCTTTTGTATTTGTGCGGAGATTTCATTGGCCACTGATCCTACTTCTCAGGTAAGTGAAGTGTTCAACACGCTCAGTTACTTCATTCTGTGTTGTTAATCTCTGTATCTTCGAAGACCATTCCTGGAGCAATAATTTACATTGTCACTCAAAGTGTTTAGAAGACTCTGCATCTTGTGAGCGTCTCAACCTAACAGAACTATGTCATCTGCGTATTCTGTGTCTACCGAAGATTTCTGTGTAGTCAGATGATGTGAGGGTGGCCTTTATAAGAACATCTATGACGAAATTGAACAACAATCGGGACAGCGGGTATTCTTGACACACACCACTCTATGTACACAGCTCACTCGATATCTCACCATAAGCTCAACAGGGTGATATACTTAGTCAGAACCTCTTTCAATGAGAGACACTGCCATACGACTTCTTGGTCGACAGAGTCGAATGCCACATTCAGGTCAAGTGATTCAGCTACTGTCGGACATCAGTAAGCATCCCTGTGTTCCAGAACCTAACGGAGTGTGAATATTTTATCGATACATCCACTGTCTGATCTGAAGCCTTCCAGATTTCCTCGTGGCTTGCTGTTCTCAAGCTTCGTTCAGGCACTTATTAAATAAGCAAGTCTTTTTGTCTATTTGACTGTTGGTAAATTGAAACGTAAAGATGCCTATCTTCACCTTTGAATATTGGGACATTTATACGAAGCTGGTTGCATTACTACTATCTAACACATGACCAGTCTTACACTGATAACAAAAAAACATAAGAAGATATGTTAGATAATAAAAGTCTTCAGAATAGCAGTGTATTCATCAAGATTATTTTGAAGGGAAAGTTTTGACTTATATCTAGCTATAAATGGCTAAATTATGAACTTACGCAGTCATATAAGGGGTTATGGAGAGTGGTATCCGTCAAGGATGCCTACTGTCACCGTTCCTATTTAACTTCACATTAGAGACGTGCTGTTGGACACAACCAGTAGGTACATCTGATTTTACAGGGTTTCACTTACTCTCTGGTGATCAGCTGCTTGACTGTACAAACGATATTAACCTACTGGATGAAGACGCTGGGAATATGCAGGATGTTCTTGATGTGTTGAGTAGAAATCTGAGTATGTTTGGCATGCATCTACCTGGAACCTTTCAAATGTAAAATGATACTACAAGACTGACTGGTCTGCTGTAGTAAGTATTCCTAGTTGTTGCATCAGCGCGAAATTTCTGCTGGATATAGAAGGCCAGTTAGGTCATTCATCAACTTGTGTCATCTATACCGCCGACTGATGAGATACCGCAGTTAAAAGTCGAAGATATAGAGCGGTTACAGGGTTGTGATCATAGGTGTCTACGTAGCATTGCTCACGTGTGGTAAGCATTTTCAAGGTCAGACGAAGGCTACTAGACAATATAGGCAATTCGGTTAATTAGGTTGTAAACTTTCATCGATTGAGATGACTTGCACATGTACCGCACATGCTAATCTACCACTTACCTCAACGTGCCATACTAGGGAAAGTCAGATTAGTTTAGAAAAGGATCCGAGGTGGCCATCAGTCAACTAAGTCTCTGATTGTTGATCTGAACCGTATGGCGAAATGTAAACTGCCTGCTTGACGGCTGGATTCCCGGTCACAACGGCACAGGTGTATTCACTCCTTGACATGTTCTGAAGTTTTGACTATTTTCATTTTGAGGAAGTTGTGGGGATTTGGAAATATTTCAAGTTGTTATTTATCGTAGACTGACATCAGTTGGGGGAATAATGGAAACCTGGGAGCACTGGACAGCTGTTCCGTCCTAGTGTGAGACTCCTCGGCAGTGCGCACCCACGACCCCACCAGGGCTCGAACCCGCGGCCTTCAGGTTCCGTGGCTAGGAGGTTACCATTGAGTCACTGGGTCACAATCCAATCGTCCATATTTCCAACTTCTGTTGGCTCACGACATAGCGCAACCGCCATCCAATGTCATCGTTGAGTAACTGTCCTCACGACCACCAGGCTTTGCCCCCACCGGTCACGACTTCTGATTGGAACTTCGGGAATACCTCTCGAAGCTAGTTACCAATGAGCACTGACATCAATCTGTCTACGATGAATAACAACTTGAAATATTTCCAAATCCCCACAAATCCCTCAAAATTCAATTGAACTGGTGCTCATTGGTGTCTAGCTTCGAGAGGTATTCCCGAAGTTTCAATCAGAAGTCGTGACCGGTGGGGGCAAAGCCTGATGGTCGTGAGGACAGTTACTCAACGATGACGTTGGATGGCGGTTGCGCTATGTCGTGAGCCAACAGAAGTTGGAAATATGGACGATTGGATTGTGACCCAATGGCCGAATGGTAACGTGCTGGCCACTGAACCCGAGAGTGGCGGGGTCGTGGGTGTGCATTGCTGAGGGGTCCCGTACTAGTCGGACGAAACAGCTGTTCAGTGCTCCCAGGTTTCCTTTGTCCCTCCAACTGGTGTCAGTCTACGATGAATAACAACTTGTCTACTTTGATATAGCTCCTTTTTCTATCCGTCTATGTGTTTGAATTCTGAACTCTGAGTATGCTATGATGAAGTATTCAATTTCTTTTTCTTTTATTTTACAGGCATACAATAACCAGTGCATTAGATAGCTTAAATCTTACAAAAGCATTGGTAGATTTTCCTGTCAATGTTACAACAGTTCCAATATATCAACTACGTTTAACTCCATGGACGTTATGGTGATAATTTTAACTTAGAGGGATCATATTCAACAGCGCGCCGTTACCATGACTATATTATTATTATTTTTCTTTATATTATTGTTATTATTATTATTTAGGTATATAAATTAATCATAAACTCATGGAAGTTGAGTTGTGTTTAGCATAAAGAATGCAAATGTTGACCTTTTTCTCCAAAATGATCTTTCTTGCTTTCATTGAACATTAAAAGAAATTCAGTATTTGTTGAAAGCATTTATGAATCAATGTAACACAGATTGTATGATGAAAATGTTGTAAATATTCTTTTTTTTTGCTAAATTTTTCTACTTTTTATCTATTCGGTAATGAAGTGAGTTTACCTAATCGCTTTGCTTGACTCGTATGATTCCGACCATTCAGTCTTGACACTGACACTGGTTTAGAATACACTTAGCCAATCTGGTGTTCGTAATCCACCCACCACACACACACACATTTGACCTTCCACTAATTTTTTTGGCCAGCTGATTCATTTGAATAAATTGACCACAACTCACCATAATTTATGAAGATGAGCCAACCAATTAAATTCAAGGACAAAAAGTGAGATGATGCATAATATAACGGATGAGTGTGCTCAACATGTAATTATTTCCCAAGTACAGATGATATATGCATCAGGGGTCGATCGAAAGCTCTTGAACTGAGCTATGCATTAATGTAACCAATTAGGTTACAAGTAGAACTTTATTTGGGAATAAATAGGATAATATACGACCAGTGAAACTTATCTGAGTAGATTCACATTTTCAGCTGATTTAACAGTCGTCATCATCATCATCATTAATATCAACATAGGACCAGGCAATACTGTGTATACATCTGCGCCACTGACATCGGTTGTGAGCCATGTGATCACCTAGAGTTAGTCTCCAACCTCTTGTTCCTCTTGTCCCGCCAACCCCTACCACCTAGTCTGCATCACCCCACATAGCTGAAACCAACAGTTAGAGGCTTCATACAGTTGTGCCATGTTTTAGTCTGGTCAGCTCGAGCCTTTTTCCAGTCTGGACCTACTTCAGCCAACATTGTGTGACGAGGTAATCGGTGACTAGGCATACGTAGTACGTGTCTCAACCGTCTCAATCGATGAAGGTTTATAACCTCGTCAACTGATTTACCTTTTCTGCCCGGATTTAACTGCATCCATCTTCATGTAGTCACAGACTGGGACCTAGCAGACATTACGCGGATATCTTCGAGCTGCTCACATGCCTTTCTATTCATGATTTACAGCGTACTCTTTTATAACTGTCACGCTGAACCGAACAAGCATTAAAGTGCTATATTCTTTTAGAAGAATATCAGTGTTTGTAGTTTGCTTTGCTAGTTGGAACCTGCTGATTAATTATTGAATGTGACATGTAAAGATATGTGAACCGACACTGAGGTACATCTGTGTTGGGAAGACAATTCAACTTTACAACCACTAAGTCGGACTGGTTCGACATCACGATGAAATATTCACTACATCAAGGTGATCAAGCTTCTGTTCAAAAAAGTTTATTGGAGATGATTAAGAATACACGAAGGTGATGGAAATGTGCTTCAGTGGTTTAAGGAGGCAATGACTTATTGTCTACCGTACGAGTGTGCACATACTGACTGGGAACATAACACTTCGAAGGTACTTTAGTCTCTCGAATGTAAGGAGGAGTAGGGTAAGCGACTCACATTTAATCTCAACTTCGAATTGGTAAATATATCATGTTCATCTTTGGAAATATCGCAGTTACGTGTTCAATGAACGGTTGTGTGTGATCTACAGGATCAGCTAGGCCGTATATGAGGAAAAGTTCGTGAAATGAAGACATTGAATGATTTTCATGTTGGGCAAATATGGCGAATCAGATTCCAGCCACGCTGAGAAGTCGTTGAACGTAAAGGCATTCACGTTTCACAGTAACATTAATGAGTTTTATTGGGAGATCTCAACATGGAGAACGGAACTGTCCTGTACTCCACAGTTTTTCAATTGTTTTCTAGTTTACTTTAGTTCGATATGAAAACTGCTCAAATGAGTTGTGGAGTTCAGGATTGTTTTGACCTTTCTAGTTGTCATCAGTCCGATTTTCCAACACTTGTCAATGAAGTGAGGGCGCTGCCATTCAGACATTTAACCCTTTCTTGTCTGCGTGGTTACCGGACAATTGACGTAGTTGGGGAGTGAGTCAGCGACAGCTTCTGAAAACCCGTTCCCCAACCAGGAGGGATGATAAAAGCTGCATCGCTTTGAGTATTCCGTAGCGTTCGCTGATGCAATCACCACGGTGGACCTCATCACTAACCTGCTACATGTACCAGAGACAAAGGCAAGCGCACTGGTCTACTCGGCACCAATAAGATGCTACTAGGGGGAGACAGCAGGCAAATAGCTTACAGTTTCCGTACTACTTCACACGTAGGTCAGGCATCACGGAAGGTTAATGTACGTTTTGTTGGCTCCACGATTACAAACACTGAAGTAAGTTGTTTCACTTTGAAATTCTGGCGATCAGTTGGTCCACAGGTCAATATCTTCTTATTAATGGGAACCATTAGAAGGTTCACGGTTGTGCAAACAGACTCCTTAACCTCATAAACTCGAAATACCATCGGCAACAGAGTCATCAAGTGAGCCAGCTACCCAGTTAAATGTGTGTTTTGAATGAGCATTTGGTCAGCAGTTCAGAAATAATCCCATAACATGACGAGTTGTTTCGTTTTCAGTGGAGAGTCACAGTTACTGTCGATACCTGGTGAACAGCAAAGAGATGTTTATTGCAACTGAATAACCTGATACACGATTCTCTGTTGTTCAAATCACTGATGCTGACCTCTAGTTCGAATCCGGCCGCGGTCCAGGTTTTCATCTCACCTTCATTCATTACCCAGTATGATTGACTACCATTAACTGATGAGTGTCTAACGGTAGGAGATATATGTCTCGAATTTCAATATTACTGACCGCATAATGCGGTGGGATCTATAAAAACTTCTAGATTGAGAAAGAAATTTATTTTTGGAACATTCATCTCTTGCTGAATTATTCTATGAAGCTTGCTGAACTCAATGGTTGTTGGGAGCCGAAAAGTGTCAGGGCTTAGACCGAACATTGATGAAGCAACTGGTCACAATTCAATACTTTGAATTGGATCTTTGTGTTCAAAAACACTGCATTCATCCATCATTAGCTTTAGTATAGCTAGGAAATGGGTTTGCTTTTACTTCCATCTTCAGAAACTTTCTGTTCCATTCTTTATCATTACAGTTATCACGTGTCCATGTAGACAAACAACAAACTATTATACGTCTCCATTATTATTATTATTATTATTATTATTATTATTATTATTATTATTATTATTATTATTATTATTATTATTATTATTGTTATGATAATTGCCCCTTGGCTTCGCTAGCACGTCCCCATTCCACTCTGTTCTCGGCAATCTTTCGAACCTGGCTCTACTACTGACAGAAGCTCTCACTTCTTCCTCACATGATCACCTCAGTGTCACTCTTGGATGCCTGACTCGTCGTTTCCCATCTCGGTTCCACCCGACGACCCGGCCTGGCACGTGATGTCCCCAAATGGTCCTCTGAGTGCATGCCCAATCCATCTCCACTTCCTTCTGCATATTTGTTGAGTGATAGGTTCTTGGTTGGTTCGTTCCCGGAGAGCGTTCATTGTTGCTTATTCTTTCTGGCCATCTGATCTTCAGTAACGAATGAGCGTAGGTGGCAGCTGTTGATGAATCTCTGTAGTTTGTTGGAAATGCTTTTCGTAACGCTCCAAGTTTCTGAACCACATAGAAGCAAGTACTGACTTGACTGAATCGGTGTTGAAAATCCGGATCTTGTTCATGCTTTATGCTGAGTGCAGTAGATCTCCACAGTGGTTTCAGGTTAATGAAGGCCTGTCTTGCTTCTCCGATCCTGCCTTTGACGTCCTCGTCTGTGCCTGTGCCGCCTGTGGTTGAAACGATGGTGCCTAGGAAGGTAGGTGAAAATGGCTATTTCCATTAAGTTTCTCTCGTTTGATGGTGATTGGAGCTTGTTGTTGGCGGTGGGGGTGTCGGTTAAGTATCTTCATCACCTCTGTCTTCTCTAGATTCACTTGAAGTCTCGTCTTCGCTACCCTGCCTCTTCTGTCAATTTGTTTGATTTTTCCTGTAGATCTTCAAGTTTGTGTGACATTAGACACGTCATAATCGGCGAAATTCAAATCTTCTAGAATTTTTTACGGTCTAGCCAGCGTATCCCCCATCTTCTCGCTCCTCACTGTTTGTTGCACGGTCCAGTCCACCATAATCTAGAAGGACATGGGTGATAGTAGGTAGCAGCCTTGTCTTACTCCTGTCTTCACTTCAAAGGCATCACTGAGCTTCCCATTCTGAATTACTTGACATGTGGTGTCTACATACAGCTGTTGAATGAGATTGATAAAGGTTGGTGTTACTCGCTATGTAGTGTTGATCAGTTGCTAAATTACTTCTCGGTCGACACTGTCGAAGGCCTTTTCAAAATCGATGAAGTTGGGGTAGAGGGTTGACTGCCATTCTATGCTCTGTTCTATGATGATGCGAAGTGTAGCGTTGCAATTTGGTCCGCAAATGATTTGTACTCCCTGAATCCACCCAGCCTGTTCCGGTCATAGTTTTGAATCCAGCGCATCTTTTAGTCTCTCCAGCATGATGCGGCCTAATATTTTGCTTGAGATGGACAGCAGTATGATTCTACACTGTTCTTGAGAAGACTTAGGTCTCCTTTCTTTGGGATTTCGACAAGGTAGCCTTTCTTCCAATCGCCAGGTACCTTTCTTTCCTTCCACACCCTCTACAATAGTGGTGTGAACATGGTTATCCGTCTCTAAATATCCTAAATACGGAGGAAGTTTTCTCTATCGTCTCAATTTTATTTTATTAACAAAATGCTATAATAGCACCTTATTCCCTCAACTTCTCAACAGTGGCTTACATCCTACAAAATTTGTAAATG